CTTCCAAATGACCGGGACCCTGTGGTCCCGTGATTGGTAAAGACATACATAATAATAAATCCGCAAGGCAGCTTGTGGCGAGCTGTTGGGCAGTGGCGACCCCACGGACCTGACTCCCGGGAGGTGTCTTGTTCTTCTCTCTCCAGTTAGTCCTCGTGACGAGCTGGAGTGAACACTGATGAAGAACAAGCCCTCCTACCTCATTCTTGCCTTAATTGGCTGGCTTGAGTGGAGATTCGCAAGAGTAGGAGTTGAAGGAGACTCGGGGGAAGGATGTATCTCAGTAAGGTGCTGGTAGGGGTCTTGACCGTACTTCCGGGATTGCTCTGATAGCCGTGGGATGCCTCTCCTTCCCCAAGCAGCTCAACGTATGTTGCCCCCGTGTCGCTACATGCTAGCGGCCGTTTCCGGGGGCCCATTAATTGAGTTTGCCAGTCACCCCCTGCCTGTTTATCCGTATGTATCAATATTGGTCAGGGGCAGGGGCCATAGTATTTCCATAGTTTTCATCCACTAGTGCATAGCAACCCATACCCATAACCCTATCAATTGTTACCACATTTTACAATAGTCCTGCATTAACCGGGGATTGTCCTTGGGTGCACTTTTATAGTGCATACAGGGATAATTGCCGGCTGATGTCCCATCACATTTAGATTAAAATTGTTCAACGGGCCTCTGCGAGTTGGCTTCGGCTCCTCGTATGCCTTCCAAAGGTCTGGGACCCTGTGGTCCCGTGAAAGGAAAGAACAAACATAATAATAATAAAGAACAACTAGAACGCACAACACGCACTACCCTGACCAAACATAATAATTTACACCCGAAATCGGCTATAGAGAGGCTCACAATTAAAAGGCAAGACGGAGGAAGAGGCCTAATAGACATCCGTCATTTATGGCAAAAACAAATTCGCAATTTAAAATCATTTTTTTATATTAAATCTCAAACAAGCCATATCCATAAAGCCATAGTTGCTAGCGATCATAATTACACGCCACTTAACTTAAATGAACCAATAGATACAGAAAACGGTAACGAAACTGACCCACAAAAAGAAAAGCTAGAAGCCTGGAAAAGTAAAGTTCTTCATGGCCGACACCCACATGACTTAGAGCAAGCTCACGTGAACACCATTGCCTCAAATAAGTGGTTGAAGTTAGGAAATTTATTCCCGGAAACTGAGGGATTCATGATAGCTATTCAGGACCAAATCATTAATACCAAAAACTACCGAAAATATATAATTAAAGACCCTACAGTAACCGATGATAAATGCCGCAAATGTCACAACCAGCCGGAAACCATACAACATATAACAGGAGCTTGTGCGACTCTCACACAAACCGATTACACACACAGACACAACCAGATAGTAAACATTATTCACCAAAAACTCGCACTCAAATACACACTTATACAAAACACAAACATCCCTTATTACAAATACACACCAGAAACTGTTTTAGAAAACGCTACGCACAAACTCTATTACGATCGCGCCATACTTACCGACAGGACAATACATTATAACAGACCTGACATAACACTACAAGACAAAGCAAATAAAATAACCTACCTAGTTGATATTGCAGTACCAAATACACATAATTTACAGAAAACAATTACCGAAAAAATATCTAAATATTCAGAACTCAAAGATGAAATAAGCCGAATATGGAACCAAAATAAAGTTTATTTAAACCTAGTGTAGTTTGATATGGAATGAATGTGGGTACATTGTTTATGAATATGAATTGGTTTGTTTGATGATTTAGTTGGTGTGTTTTTGATTTGATGTATATTTTTTGTATTTTTGTGGTGAATGCAAGTAAGTAATTAGGACGTTTAGTGTTAACATAGTGTGTCATAACAAAATAACACGATAAGAACCTCGTATTAAAGTAAAATGTTTGTGGGTAATTATTGTTTAAAGTAATAGTGCACAAGTACATACCTTCAAAGAGCAATATTCGAGGAATGTTAACATTATAACAGTTAAAAGATCTTATTAGTTTACATAAAGTAGTGAAGTACTGTTACGTGCCTGACTACGCGGGCTTGGGTTACGGGATTGGATGAAATGAAACACTAATACCGGTTTTCAGACTTTCTATTGCACTTAAGTTACAGCGTCCACGGAGTTAAGTTATCGGCGTTCCTCTCCAGCAGAGTCCGGCCGACTGACACAACTTTGCCGTTCACGCTGACTTAACTCACTTAACTAACTGCACTGCACTATTTCACTCACTTCACTATTTCACTCACTTTTCTTCTTTTTCACTTCTTCCTTTTCTTCCGAATCGCTTTAGACTTAGAACTCAACTGCCAGCGGTGAGCCGCAGTTCTGCTTATATACCCCCGGTCAGGTTCTGGAACATTCAATTTCGTTATTCTTTTTGATCGTCATGCCTCCAGAACCTTCCAATAATTTCGCTATTCATTTTTATTTATTCTCCTTCTCACTCTTTAATTTTTCATCTCTTTCACACAAATAATTCCAGAAAGTTCGACAAAACTTCCATCAACTAAAAAACTTCATGTTTACGGCGGGACTCGAACTCGGGGTCTCTGTGGTGTAATCCACACGCCTTACCAATTACACCAACTCGTATTGACAATTCACGACGAAATTTACAATCTCTAGGCAACGTTTGACAACCATCCATTGACGTCATGATGTCAAAGAGTTTGAACCACTTTTCCGTCACAGTACATAAAACGTAAAAAGACAAATAATATCATGACGTCTTCCATTAGTAAGTAGCTCAGATTATTCACGCGTTCGGACAAAGTCAGTCATTTGTTCTTTTTAAGTTGATGTATCTGTTGTTCGTTGGTTACATTTATGGTCGGCGAATGTTCGTCTTTCTTCAATAAGACTTTCCCATAGGAAGTCCAGCAAAACTTAAAGTCACCAGATTTAGTCAGGTCCCGAGCAAGGAAGTGTAAGCGGGAGCCCTTTGCAGTGAGATGCTCAGAGAGGAAGATGAGTGTATCTTCCTGCGATTTAAAACCCAGCTGCTTGCATTTTAACTTGGTTTTATTTTTAGTAATGTAGGCCTTACCCATTGTGATGATTTCTGACTTAATTATAGTCGAGCTAGTTTCCACAATTATGGGGGTGTTTACACTTTCACTGTTTTTTGCACGTGTCCGGTATATGTCCTTTATATCGTATTTTGTAAGATTACAGTTTAGGTTTTTGGCGAGACACATAATCATTTCAATCAAGTCTTCCTTAGTTTCCTTTGGTTTTTTGGGTACGTTTTTAATTACAAAATTGGCCTTTTGATTACTGATTTGCATCGTTTCAAGTTTATCCTCTAGAAGTTTGATGTAGTTTTTATCTTCTTTGGCCTGACTTTCCAACTGTTCAATTTTCTTACTGAGATTGTCATTTTGGGCAGTGAGGTAAGCAATGGAGCTTTCTATCTTGCTGTTAGAATTCTGGATTTCTCTTAGGGTGGTCGTAATGTGTTGAGTTTCTTGTTCTTGCCTGTCGGTGAATATGCTCAACATTTTCCTAATCTCTTCCTTAAACTCCCCAAGCTGATTTTCGAGTGAGTCATCCATGTCACCTCGGTTTCTCTTTACCCGTTGGAATATATAGTTAGGGGGTGTATTTAGATCAGCCTGGCTGACTAGGTTAACATCCGATTCTGACAACGATTTATTGATTGGTGAATTCATTTTTATTTGGCACTATAAAGTTAAAGTGTGCTTATTAAAAATAATGCAATCTCGGGAACAAATACACAAGTCGACGAGGTCGTAGCAGCGACAATGTTCGTAGCAGGTTCGTAGCGAAAACTGGTTCTTTTAGCAAAAAGCTATGCGGTGCGGCAATAGTCCTCTACGAATCGAGTGAGCGCATCGGAATATCTTGCCATTTCCCTTCTTACGTGGTACGCGCGGTTCACATGCACGCAGATCACAACGGCGGCGCAGGAGCAAGACAGCAATTATGTCGGTAATATCTTTTTCACTCGCGGGTCGCGGGTGAGGGGAGCGCACCGCTCCTTTTGCCGGCCGGTGGACAGGAGAATGGTCACGCGGCACTTAGTAATAAGCACTATTTTGGGTTGTACGGAATAAATTTATTTAGCGGAGCGATTAACAACACGTCTGCTTGCGATGCGAGCTTGGACGAAAGAGGATACCTATCTACCCTATACTACCTATCTTACCCTACCTACCCCACACTACCTACCTTATCCTACCTACCCCACACTACCTACCTCATCCTATCTACCCTTTACTACCTACCTTATCCTATCTACCCTATACTACCTATCTTACCCTACCTACCCCACACTACCTACCTTATCCTACCTACCCTACACTACCTGTCTTATCTTACCTACCCCACACTACCTACCTTATCCTATCTACCCTATACTACCTACCCTATCCTATCTACCCTATACTACCTATCTTACCCTACCTACCCCACACTACCTACCTTATCCTACCTACCCCACACTACCTACCTTATCCTATCTACCCTATACTACCTATCTTACCCTACCTACCCCACACTACCTACCTTATCCTATCTACCCTATACTACCTATCTTACCCTACCTACCCCACACTACCTACCTCATCCTATCTACCCTATACTACCTACCTTATCCTATCTACCCTATACTACCTATCTTACCCTACCTACCGTACACTACCTATCTTACCCTACCTACCCTACACTACCTATCTTATCCTACCTACCCCACACTACCTACCTTATCCTATCTACCCTATACTACCTATCTTACCCTACCTACCGTACACTACCTATCTTATTCTACCTACCCTACACTACCTATCTTATTCTACCTACCCTACACTACCTATCTTATCCTACCTACCCTACACTACCTATCTTATTCTACCTACCCTACACTACCTTTCTTATCCTACCCACCCTACACGCTTAGCTCATATGTTACCCTATCACATAATGACAACAAAATCTAATTCTAGTTTTAATATTTCAGCCAAGATCCGGTTTCAGATAATTTTCTGGATAATATATTCCACATCTGTATTGACTATAGAAATAGAAGAAGGTTGGATATTCTTACATAAATAATATATTTAGACTAACATCGTGTGTTGGCCAACTTTGGATTAACAATTACAATTCTAATTTAAAACACTTTGATTTTACGTATTCTAATCAAAACTTGTGTGTATATATCAAATTGGATATGTTATTTATATAGGTATATAGAATAACTAAACTAACTCACTAATAACGTTTTTATTTGATTATTTTTTTGAGTAATACACTGACACAATGTAAAAAAAACGATTCCTACTAAACATTTACACCCGGTTTTTCAACTAAAATTAACTAATCTCCTGTTATATCTCTTGTCTGTCTGATTGGTTGTTGATAATTCAGTCAACCAATCAGATGACTTGACAAGAGATTAAATTGATTTTTACATTGATCGGCCTTTCTGAAACCGGGTGTTAAATTTTCAAACAACTAGCTTCTGGCGCGCGGTTTCACTCGGTGCTACAAATATCGTAGCGTACTTTTTTATAGCGCAAAGCCTCCCTGGATAAAATAATGGACTAACAAACACAAAAAGTATTATTAAATTTGAACCAGTAGTTCTGAATATTAGGGCGTTCAAACAAACAAACAAACTCGCCAGGTTTATAATATTAATAATAAGTCTAGATTGCAACTGCTCCAATTAGTATTTAGGTCAGACTGGCAGAGAATGCTTAAAGCATTAGGTCCACCTGTGTACATTTTCTTGTGCATGAAGCCATTAATAAAAAAATAAAACTACTAAGAATAATGTAATTAAACCATATTTCCAGGGCCCACAAGTCAAAAGTGGAAATGTGTCGTTACGGCACTGGCAACACTGAGCAGACACAGGTAGCTGACAACACTAGCACCAAGAGCCTTGGAGTGAGGTATGATTTGTTTATTATTTTTATTATACAGTATTGTTATTTTTTTCTGTACGATTTAAGCTCTCGATTGAAATATAGTCAGGCCTAAGTGATAAATTATATTTTAATTCATCAAACCCCAAGCGAACGCCAGCCTTTGCACAACTATTGTTCTTCTATTGTGTATCAAATTAACCCAATTAAAAGGTTAACGTGTGGTAACTCACAATGGTTACTAATCATCACCATCAAGCTATAAGTAGCCGGGGTTGCGGGGTAAGCGCAATGAGGCACCGCGACCTCGGCACAGAGCAGGAGAAGGAACAGGGGGGTTTTAGCCAGTAAGAGTCTCACACTCCCTTCCGTCCTAACCTGGGCGGGAAAATTCATTTAATGAATTTCCCCTGACAAAAAGGCCTTTTCTAACACGGAGAAGGTTTGAGCATCTCCATGATTGCTCAAGGCGGATTGGCAATTTCAAAATTATTATTAGAAATTATAGATCCAGGTTTCCTCGCGATGTTTTTCTTCAGCGCATGTCAAATAGTGTCGAAATAATTTTAAAAAGTACATATAACGATTACATAGACGATCGATTAAAAAAATGATATTTTCTACTTCAAAAAACTAAAAAAAAACAATTTATTAATTGTTATGTTTTCGGCTTACTCACGTAATAATTTGACGAGTTACTCGACTAGTTTCAAGCCATGCTAGAGGCCCATAGTCGCCGAAACGCGTGTCGCGGGATGCTGCTCATGAATATAGGCCTCTAGCATGGCTCGAAACTAGTCGAGTATCTCGTCAAATTATTACGTGAGTAAGGCGAAAACATAATAATTAATTTAGAATGTCTCACGAAAGTTATAATAAAAACAATTTTCATTGTTACAGTCCAAACAACAGTCTCGCACGTCCTTACAGTCCAAAATCGTCAACCAACCTCGCCGGCAACTACAACCGCCCTCAGCCGCCCCCCTACATGGGTTCAACAACCAATTCCCTCCACCACCGCAAGTCAACCGACAGAACCCCATCAACCAGTGGCCATACCCCCGAACACCGCACCCATTTACTCGAAGAATCACTAAAGCTTTTAAACGAGGCGAAAATCGATGGCTTATCGATTAAAGATCCGATAATCGATTTGAACGATGGCTCTGAAGATTACGTCCCAATCAAGCCTGATGCTTCAGGTTATGTTTCGATGAAGGATTTGGATGATATCGATGTTCCTGATCTGGCCAAGTTTGGCATCGCTGGACCCATATGACATGAGGTAATGGCGGGAGAACCGCCCGTCAAAACATGGTTTTGTTAATCCACTGTTACTACGCGAACAACGCAATTTTTTTGGTATGTTCTATAAAAAGACTACGCTTAGCAAATATTTTACTTTTCATAAGATCTAGCAAACACTATATTTTTTTTTAATTTTCGATATTAAAAAAACCTATACTCAGCAAAAGATTTCTTAAAAAAAAATTAAGCGCACACTACCAATATTTTTAATTATTTAAAGAGTCTATACTTAGCTGAAGATTTTCCTTTCCTAAAAATAAACTAGTAAATTTTCGAAAATAAAACTTATATAACAGTTTCGTTACTCGTACTTATTGAGTTAATTTGATCCAATGAATAGGAGGTGGTCTGAAAACATCTATTTGTAATTCAATAATTATTACACTACAAAAGTAAATCTGTAAAAACACATTAATTTCCACGAACAATAATCGGGAATAAACAAAACTTTACAACGTAGCCTTACCTAACCTCACTGAAATAAAAAATTGCAAACCCAAATTGTTATTTGCGGCTACCATCTACTTTAACTAACTAACAATAGAGTCGAAAATCGAAAGTAAAATTGGCAAATGTGCGTAAATTAGTTTTAAGGATATTATAATACCTACAATGATATTTACAATGCAGTGATATTTTTTATTAAATTTAATAATAGGTACAAATTTATTTTTTATACTTTTTGTTTATTTTTATATTTAATTTTATTTTGTTGACATTTAAATTATTTTTAGTAAATTTTACTTATGTTTTGTTTTTTACTTAATATAATTATATTTGTTGAATATATTTTTTGTTTTATTTTATTTTTACCAAATATGACCCGTTACTTTAAAAAATTTATTCTATTGAGTTAGAAATTTATTGGATGTAGTTAGTTCATCGTTTATCATGTGGGTATGAAAATATATTAGGTTACAATAAATATATAAACGTTAAGAACTTGTAAATATAAAAAACCTGAAATACTCAAATAACATAGAATGTTTTTTTAAGTAGCTACTCAATGATACTGGTAATATAAGTAAATATTATAATATAAATTAATATTACTTTTAAAAAAACATAAAATGAAAAAAAAACACAATAAAAATCATCGATAAAGAAAACTAAAAAAAACAACAAAAAAAAATAAACTAAAAGTAAGTTCAAAAATAAGTCATAGCTGTTAGTATTAAAAATAATATTACATTTTAAGAAAAAATAAAATCGAAAAATTAGCTTAAGTAAACTAAAAACGACTCGTTCTCAGGTATAAATAATATTAATTAACGTTAAGCCACAAATGGCTATAAAAATAAGTTAAGCTAGATTAGGATCAATGCTGATAAAGGATGGAAGGAAACAATTACTTGGATAAAAAATACAGAGAATCATTCTGAACCTTGACAAATAAAATTCATATACTCATAGAGAACCAGGCGTTTAATAACCCCGATCTCCAAAACCTAGCCAATCGGCAACGCACTCGTAAACCCTCCGTTGATGAGACTGTCCTTGGGCGGCGCTGATTGCTTACCATCAGGTAATCGTTTGTCATCCTATCACATAAATGAGTGAGACTTTGTGCACTTATTCGTACTGCACAATAAAATTCGAAGAAGTTCCACAATTCTGTCAAACACACTGAACCTTATGGGAGCAACCGCGAGGCACAGATTTGATAGAACTACTAACAAAGCCAAAAGATATAGAGCAATTTTCTCTGCACGAACAGGCTCTAAGGATAAGATATAGGACTATATTTTACATACTTCCGGAGCATCGTGTATTTGGCGGACATCGCTGTGGCAGAGTGCGTTACCGCCCACGCAAATATGAACGCTATCAGCAAAGCATGGCAAAAAAATTGTTACGCTTAAAAAAAAAACAATAACTCATCGCTGGAAAATAAGACATGATATCTACACATTTTTAATAATATCAATATATAGAAATATCTATCTGTTATAGTTTATAGTTTAATAAGAAATTTTATCATACATTGTATAAAATATAAGCATTACAATTAGCGAAATACGGGATGAACTGTCATCAGCTAATGGGCGAAGCGATGCAACTTTCAACCTTAAAGAAAAGAGCATATCTACTGATTTTCCAAAGGCGCTTGAAACTTTTCTCGAGGCAAATGTCTATACCTAACCATCACAGTAACTGAAGGGATATTTGTCGGACCACAGCAAAAAAAACCTTTAGCTTTCCCAAATACAAGTCCTTGATGTTAACTTCCATCCTTTAAATTGCATTTTAAAGATAATAAATAATAATAAGGTAAGACAGTCCACGTGGCATCATACGGTGAGCAACCAAAGATAAATAAGAAACTTCAGATCATGATGTACATATAGCCATGATCTCAATAAGTTAGAATAATTAGAAAATAACAGATTATATTTTTATATATAGGTAAGTTAGCCATTAACAACAATAAATTTATGGTCACGTTAAGAAGAAAATAAATACGCTATTTCAAAGACTTTAAGTTTAATTTTGACTGGTCAACGTACCTAAGGCTAAGATTTCAAAACATTCAAAATTTAAAAAGAGAATATAGCTAAAATAGGAAATTTACATCAACCGTTTAAAAAAGGTTAAAAATGGATTTGTTTACATTCATCCTATCAACAAATTTCATAAAAGGAAAAAAAAAACATTGATGAGATATGTGTAGAATGAGTGATATAGATAAAAAGATACAATAAACCATACGTACAGACAATTTTAACTTACTACATTGTGGATCTAACTCACCAAGCAAGATAATAATATACTACTTTTGACGTAGTCCGGCTAGACTAAGAAACCGTTATAAAATGGCAAAAAAACCTTTTTAAATTAAAAGTCTAAACATTTCGGCTTCAGAGCGGTTCTATAATTTAGCATATAACAATAGCAATTTGTCAAAAAAAAAATTGGTCAAGCAATTTATTTCTTAAGGTGACCGTATCAATATGTATCTATAAATATTTCTCATATGTACTACAAGGGATAAGAAACGCAATAAGCGATGCGAAAGCATACATAATGTAAATATAATAAACCAAGCAGCCGTTATTACTAAAAAAGTAGATATTAAAAGTTAAGAAATTATATTTTTATATTAAATATAAGTTTTAGGTTAATTATAAGTAAGAATAAGTATTATAAGTTAGGTTAAGTGTCATGTGAAATCATAATATGGGTCAAAGCGTCACCTCATACTAATTGTGTATTCAAAGACAGTTTTACGTCATCAGGCCAATAAGTGTCCAGCCGGGATTGCGGGGTAAGCGCGATGAGGCACCAGGACCTCGACCCAGAGCAGGAGAAGGAAAGGAAGGGGTTTTAGTCCTTAAGAGCTCGGCCCTGGGCGGGAGAAGTCGTTTGATGGTTTTCCCCTCACAAAAAAAGGCCTAGAAACGATTTTGTTACGTAAATAATTGCTAAGCACTGGGAAATATTTCCAATTGTTATCATATCATAAAATCAAAACTGTATAAATACAAGTATAAATATCAAAACTTTTCCAAAGTCGCCATCGTTCGAAAATCCCCATCACATAGATGGGTGGCAGTCAACAACTGTGTGATTAACGCGAAATTTTATGCCTCACACAGCAAAACTTTGGAATAACCTTCCGGCGGTGGTGTTCCTGAACCGATACGATTTTCAAACCTTCAAAAAATAAGCCTACTCCATCTTGAAATGCCGGCAACGCGCCTGTGACTCGCTTACCATCCGTCAGCTCGTTTGCCTCAAATTAAATAAAAAAAAATTACTCGTATTGTGACTTCATATGGCCGGTTAAGATACGCCAAGAGCGATATTGTTGTATATATAAAGAACAATGACTAAACATGCTAATCAAAATCTTACTAGAAATATCAATCGATCACGATGCACATATAGAAGTGATCTGAATAATCTATTTATAAGGAATAGTCACTAAGAGAAAATATATTTTTTTAAATAGTACTTAATCTAAATGATAATGACAATAGTTAGTAAATATAATTATATTAGGCAAATAAGTTAGGTTAATTAACAACATTTATATAGTCACAGTAAGAAAAAACGCATCATCTGAACATATTCCCACGTGTCGTCAGATCTGTGTCATCGTCATTTAGATGGCTGACAGTCCACAAACTGTGCATTAAAAAAATACTATTGCATAAAATTACACATAAGCCAAGCTTCGGCACGAATGGGTCGTCTTAACCAGAGTGATACCACGGCCTCACAGAAAACTGACGTGAAATAACCACAGCGTTGGATTTCTACGTTAGTGAGGTTACCGAGATCTAATCCTCTAATCCTCTTCTTAGCTCTCTCCAATCCCTAAATTCCGGCAATGCACTCGTAACTCATCTGGTTTTACGGGTTTCCATTAGCGGAGTGGATTGCTTACCATCAGATAATCCGTTTGCTCGATTGCTGACCTATCACATAAAAAATACAGCCTTCACCTTCAACCCACTATTATAGTACATCTAAACCTACGATTTTTCAAAAACCGAATTAACTTAAAAATCAAAGCCTATGCACGCTGGCGACGTCTGCTTGAAAAATGCAGATCATTTATCAATAATATAATATTGACAATATTCTTCATATTGTGACTGTATAATGTCTGTTAATACTTTCATAAAATAATTTCATAAAATTTCCGTTTTTCTTCGAAGGTTCAGGTTTAAATCCAAAAAATCAAATAACGTTCTCCGCTCATACCCAATGCATAGAAGAAATTACATTACAAATATTGGTTTAAAAAAAATATCAGTCATAATCACATCTTGGACGCAATTAAACTTGAAATTTAATGGCGCCCAACATGGGACCATAAATATTGCATCATCATTTTATTGAAAAATAACACACAGTACACACTAACATCTAATTTAATTTACAAAACACAGTTTTCCTTCAGTCCCGAACAGATGCACGTGCATACATTCTAGAATATAAAATATACCTATTTGCAATTTTCAATATTACATCTGAAGAATAACAGTTAATTACAAACCATTCTTTATTAAAACTTGCCATTGACTATAA